GAGAAGATCGAGGTTATCTCTTTCTTTGGGGGCTTCGGCTCATTTGGGAGGCTTCGGCCTTGGATTACTATACTGTTTATCTTCTTCTCTAATAAAATCAGTTTGATTTCTTGTTCTCTTTCTGTAATTTGTTCTGGAATCTTGGGGTTTCTAACATTGGTATCAGAGCACGTGGATTCACTATTGATGTCTTGACGTGCACAAAAGATGGAAGCACGACGGGATAACTTGAAGAGGAATCATCAACGAACTATGGAGATATTGACAACGATGATCGCCAGATTGGATGCGAGAAATCAAGATCGATCGCGAACAGATGGATCAGAAGGAAATTCCAAGTATTTTCCTTCGCATCAAGAACAGAGGCTCCGCAAGGGACCTGAAGATCGATCGAGCAACACCAGGCATCATGGTAGATCTGATAAACAAAGTTCGTCGCAGTCGCTAACCAAGCCGCAGAAGGAGTCGCGAACTGTTCACTCTGGTTCGATGTCGCGAAAGGCTTCCAGCGGAAAAATGGTGAAGCTCGCAGAAAAGAATGAGCGCGAAAAAGTGGAGAAAGAGAAACGCAACAAAGTGGAGAAAGAGAAGCGCGACAAAGTGGAGAAAGAGAAGCGCGAAAAAGTGGAGAAAGAGAAGGGCGAAAAAGTGGAGAAGGAAAAGCCTTCAAACCTGGAGAAGAAGCCCAAGCTGCGGCAACATTGTCGGCAAGGAAGGTCGAGGACTGTACGGCGCTGCACGAATTCGAAAAACAAAGGTCCGTCGCAGTTACAAGATACTTCTTATGGTCCTCTGGCTTCAATTCGAGTAGAAAACCCTAGTTCGAAATCTCTATCTGAGTTTCCAGAGTAGCAGCAGGAGTTGGCTATTCAGCAGCACACCTATGGAGAAGAGGAACGCAATGATAAACCATCCGTTAATCTTCAACCTGAAGATGGAGCAGTTGTTGGATTCCCCAGACGTAAGATAATTTCCAAGAACGATCTGGACCAGTCAGACCTTGAAATCGATAGGTTCAAGCTTCTTCAGGAAGGTGATATTTCTTCTCATATTGTACAGCAGATGAACTGGCCAAATGTCTTCAAGACTGAAAGAATGTATTGTCAGTCATTAGATATTACATTGGAAGGATTAAACAAGTTTGATATTCCTAGATGGGAAGGGGTTACTTCTATGAAAAATATTAAAAAAGAATTGGTGAATTATGTGTCTATGCCTCTATGCAGAAGTATGTTGCTGATTCCGACAACCAGGATCAAGTTATTGCGGGTGAAAAGGGGATAAGAGTCCAGGGTGTCAAAGCTTAACTCAAAACTAAACATTCTATGAATTCAGCAGACATAGATGATGAATCTAGTGTGTTTGGAACTGAGGAAAGAGTTTTTATAACATTTTGGTCAAACTATTTCCTTCAACAGCTAAATGATGACCGGAGAGTGTCTGCTTTAACTTCTGTAAAGTTATCTTTTATCATAGGATGTTGTGATAATCTAGAGGAGCAGAACCTAAAGCCTTGCAAAGAATATGGGAGTATTGTCCTGTTCCTTACAGCTATGGTCAGAAGAATACCAAGGAAAATGAAGGGGTATTCTTTTATCTTCATAGAAGTTTTTGTTTGGAAAACTCGCAAAGAATGCTGCTACATCAATTGGGATTCTAGACAAAGCGGACTGCCTTCATCGGACAGGCAACGAGGGAACCAAAGAATTATGGCTGATGTACTTGGTGAAGAAGGAACTGATTTTGTATTCTCATCCACAAAGTGTTGCTTGGTTTCTGTGTTGTTTCATACCAGCAAAGATGGTGCAATTTTGAAGATAGTTTGGGTTTTTTCACTCTTTGTTTCAAGAAATCAGGTAAAAATGGATTCTCCTTTTGAGGAACAAGCAGTGGTAGAAAGATCTAGATGGAATATGCCTATGGGAGCTGTTTGGTGGAATGATGTTAGGTGTACTCAAAGTACAGCAGAGGATGGCATTGTTTTGCTGAATAGCCTGAAAAGCATTATGAAGGTCAATCACAATTCTGATGAGCAAATTAAAGTGGAGGTTCAGGACATGAACACCAATTATGCTACTGTTGTAAGTGTTATAGCTCAGGAAAGCATGAAAACATCTATGGATATGGAAAATCTGAAGTCTGCAGAAACATATGTGAGCTGGAAAGTTCAAGTACTGAAGCTACAAAGCCATCAACCAATCAAGTATTAGGAAGGAAGAGGCGCAAGAAAGAAGAGGAAGCGGAAGATCATAGCGGTTTCCTGTCACCCACCTTGAGGGCAAGGTGGATGTTTAGGGGGGGAGTATTGATAGGGACCGACCTATTAGGATATTAAATAAAAGAGTTAGTATAGTTATATTTCTGTTCGAGCTAATAACTACATTTTGTTAGTTCAAATAATATAAATAGATGTAAAGTGGGAGTAATTGGCAGGCTTTTAGACGGATAGTCTTGGGACTGGGAAGATCGAGGTTATCTCTTTCTTTGGGGGCTTTGGCTCATTTGGGAGGCTTCGGCCTTGGATTACTGTACTGTTCATCTTCTTCTCTAATAAATCAGTTTGATTTCTTGTTCTCTTTCTGTATTTGTTCAGGAATCTTGGGGTTTCTAACACATTTACCCACGGAACCTTCCAACGGGATGGAGGGAGTAATAAGTAAGTATCTTTCCTCTCCTTTGTACTTCAGTTTTGTTTTCTACTATCGTGTTTAATATTTAAGTTACACTCTTTTTTTCTTTTCTTTTTTTCGGGAAAAGGGTATAAGGTCTTCTACTATTACGAAATCGTCACATAAGGTCATGTACTCAATAAAGTGTCATATAAATACGTCTACTTATAAAAATCAATCGGATGACTCAAAATGACCCGTTGACAACCTCTTAATCCCGATTTGAGCTTACGTGTCGTGATTTTTGCCTTAAGCCAATCCTGGCCAAATATTTCATGTAAGCCTTATTATCTATTTTAAAAAGATAGCCAAACATACGCTAAAACTGGTATTACGAGGTTGTCAACACCTCGTTAGGACTCATCTGATTGCTTTTTATAAGCATACAAATTTATATGACACATTATTAGTACATGAATGAATGTTATTAGTACATGACCTTATGTGACTCATCTGACAGTAGGTGGGAGCCTTTGTGGCACTGGGGTAAATGAAAATGAAATGAATGTTATTAGTACATGACCTTATGTGACGATTTCGTAATAGTAGAAGACCTCATTTGACCCTTTTACCTTTTTTTCAAGTTACACTCAAATTGTAAATTGTTTTTAATTTTGACTGAATAGATGAGGTGGATAGAAGAGGGAAAAGAAGACTCAAACAAACGTGAATTAGAGGAATTGGGAATAATATGGGTCGGTTTGGCAGAGCCTACCGGAGGCGGTCAAAGAAGGGACAAGCTTGAGTGGTCCTCAATATTTTAAATTAATTAAATCAGTTTCCTACTTTGAGTCAACAACAACAACATCCAAGCCTTAAACCCAAAAGATTTTGTGGTCGGCTAACATAAATCTATCCATGATATCAGAGCCAAAAGAGAAGAAAGATAAGAGGAAAAAAGTACAATAAAATGAATAAGATTAAGATACAAATAAGATAACAATAACATAAGAACATAAGAAATATAAAAGATAAAAAGATATAAGAGCATAAAAGATCAAAGATAAAAATAACAAAAGAACATAGAAAGAAAGAAAAAAGATAACGATAAAGAAAAAGAGAGAGAAAAGAGATCAATCATCGACAAGAATGTGCATCTTCCACTTTGCTCTGTCCAAATCCATACTCTAATCGAACTCAAGGAAACATATATCAGTTCTGATTCCTCCAATCCAAGTTTGTTTTAACACTCGATTTAGCCTCATCAATCAATACAATATCATCGGCAAACATTATGCACAATGGTATATCTTCTTGAATTGACTTCGTAAGTTCATCCATGACTATAGCAAATAAGAAAGGACTTAGAGCCGATCCTTGGTGCACTCCGATAGTAATAGGGAGCTCTACGGTCCTTCCTACATTAGTACGAAAACTTGTAGTACAAACCTCATACATATCCATGATGATACGGATGTACTTACATGATATTCTTTTTCTAGTTAAGGCCCACCAAAGGATTTCTCGAGGTACCTTATCATATGTTTTTTCTAAGTCAATGAACACCAAATGCATATCCTTTTTAGTGTCTTTATACTTCCCCACAACTTGTCTGAGAAGGTGAATGACCTCAGTTTTTGAGCGTCCAAGCATAAATTCAAACCGATTCTCTGTAATTTTCACACTTTTTCGAAGTCTTTGCTCAACTGCTCGCTCCCAAAGTTTTATGGTGCGACTCATAGGCTTAATCCCTCCATAGTTAGCACATGGTCATGGAAAAGCTTAAATATTTATGGAAAAGCCTCTTAAAGTGATGATGATGGTGATGCATGGCCATGGCCATGGTCATGGTCATGGTTTATGGATTATGGTTGTGTTTTTAATTTTTACTGAAAAGATGATGATTTAATTTGATGGTTTAATATTCAAGTTACACTCCAATATGGTTATGGTCTTATGGAGTATAGTGTTAGATGTAGAATACAAAATATACTCCCTTCGTCTCTTATAACTTTGTCAAGTTTGACCAACACGAAGAATAATAAAGTAAAAAGTAAAAATTGTGTGATTAAGGTTCGTGCAGAGACAGATATAATAAGAACCACAAATTAATTGATTGAAAGGGAAAGTGGCAAAGTTTTTGGGACAACTCAAAAAGGAAAGATGATAGAGGTATAAGAGACGAAGGGAGTATTATGCATTTATTATTTTACTTATGTTGATGTATTGATGTCGCCACGGCATACGCTATGTCACAATGGCGTGAAACCCCGCCATAACAACACTGGACGTGCCGCATAACGCGCCTCTTAAGCGGGGTTTTAAACCATGGTCAAAATAGTCCCTGATGAGTATAATAATGAATGTTAATACAATTTTAAACAAGATCACCTTCACATAAAGTTTGCATTTGACTTCATGGACAATAGTGACTCCTATCTCTTCAACTTTCTTTACAGATGGACTGCCAGGCTGCTCTGTTTCACCATCTTCTATAACAGCACAAAGATCATGCAATCAGCCGATGATAACAATAAAAATATAAACGGGATAGTGTGCAAATGAAAAGGTATATGATACACACTCTGTCCCACGGTCCCACTATATTTGTCCAATTTAGGTCAGTCCCAAAATTGATAGTCTCATATCATTTTTGGTCATTTTGTGGGTTCAGAATCATCTAAACCTTACAATTTTAATAGCAATCACACAATTTACTTTTCATGAAGTTACATGTAACTTCCCCTTATGCAATACTTAGTGGGACGGAGGCAATCATTCGGACAGTATCACAACGGCAGATAGTTCTTGAAGTAAGATTCTCAAAGGAATAAATAGTTGATATTGAAATTTAAAGAAAGGCATTGATACCTACCACCATCTGCATCATTTGAAGTGTCGTTTGCAGTGACTGCATTTTGAGGTCGCATCACTGTACTCTGAAGTCCTGGAAGTGACATAGTCGAAGCATTTAAAAACAACAGGAGTCACGGTTTATGATGGACTTTATAGACTATAAGTCTATAACCCTTAACCTGTTTCTACCTTCAAAGTTGAAGGCATGTAAGGATAATTGTGTCCAGTAATAAAATAAACACATAACAGCATGTACCGATGTCATTCTAATGTATACTACTTGTAATTGTTTTACACAGAAGATAAAAAAGGAAACAATTGTTTTCGTAAAAGGAACATAGATCTCTTATTAGAAGTACAATCTGAAAGCAAAAACCAGAATTATTTGTTAACAAGGTAGGAGTAACTGTTCGGACTTCAAAGTTGACATCAATCTGAAAGACTGAAACAATAACCACTATGGATCAGCACAGAAAATAGCCACCAAATGAAAACGGAGTTTTTGTGAGATCTTTCCTAGTTAAATTTGTTGTTCTAAAAATCGCCCTGGGCCCCACCTAGGTGCTAGGCGGTGGCCGGATGCCCTGATTTTAGACTAGACGTCCACAAAAATCCATATGGCGCCTAGGTGAATGTTAGGCATCAGCCTAATCAGTAGTTTTAAATAAGGGGGTTAGGGGAGTTAAATAGCTTATTAAGTGCCTCTAGCTTATTTAGTTGTCTATTTAGTCCCTGCGTGGACTTTTGCTATAAATAGCTGGGGTAGCCATAATAGGTAGACTATTATTTGAATTGTGTGTTGCCTTGTTGCCTAAGAAGTCCCTGTTGCCTGTTGCCTACGTTGAGTATTACTATCAATAAACCCTATTTCTCTATCCATATATCAGATCTGTACTTGTTGTTTACTCAGATCTCGCCAGGTACCTAACAGTGAATTAGTTGGCCACCTAAGGTGTCTAGGTGCCCGACTGGCGCCCGACTAATGCCATTTAGAACATTGATTATATTGGGGAAAACTGTCAAATAGACCTTGGAAGTATACCAAAAAAGTCAATTAAGCCCTCGAACTAAAGAAAAACCCAATTAAGTCTATGAACTTTACAAAAACGTTCAATTTCCTAATCTAGCCGATTGATTCTCGGTTAACCGGTGATTGTGCTGGCAGGGCATCCAAATGTCATTTTTTGACTTTTTCTTTCTTTCTTTTCTTTACTTGCTCTTTTCCTGTTTTCTTCCGGCCCACCTCCCCCTACATCTCCCCTTTCTTCTTTGCACCCAGACCATCTTCCCCATTTTTTCCTTCTTCTTCTTCTAACCCAAACTTTTTCTCCCTCCTATACGCCTGCTTCTACCCGCGCCCTGCTTGGCTGCTTCTCTTCTACCGATCCTTCTTTTCTTTTTTCCTCTTTCTTTCCTCTCTTTTCTCCCTAGTTTTCTTCCCACCCCATATTCTCCTCCCCTTTTTGTTTCCTCTTATACGCCATTTGCTACGAACACTTTGTTTCTTCTTCTTCTTCCATGTGAGGAACTCCGATGAGGAGGGCGGCTATGGTGGTGGAGCTCTTCAGCCCCTGATGCGACGTCGTTGGAGCCAGTCTTTGTCGACGGCGGCGAGAATTAGCTCGAGAAGGTGACCAAAGGTGGCAAGAATCGATGACCTCGAACCAGGCAGAAGAAAGAAGAAGAAATGGATGGTAGATTCCGGATGACCAATCCGCTCAAACCGGGCGGAGGAAACAAGGGAATGTGGAAGTCGGAGATGGTAGGGCAGAAAGAAGTAGAGGAAGAACGGGGCAGAAGAAGAAAGTGACAAGAGGAGACGAGCTCGAATTTCCGGCGAACACCTCCGGCGCGCACCTCCATCGAACACTTCCGGCGAAAGGAACAACTAACAAGTAAAGAAGTTTAGTAAGACAGAAAATTTCATAGCATGTGATGGTATTTATACAATGGTGCAGGGAGTGTATAAGGAAACTACTAATTACAGTAATAACTATAAGGATATGTAACTGAAGATTCTAATAAATAATTATAACTGATGTAATAAATATTTATATTCTGGATTCTTCTATATGTCCCCACAAGCCACGTATTCGAGCACTCTCAAGAATCCTAAACTTGGTTTTGAGAATAGCAAAGCGCTGTCGCGGAAGTGGTTTGGTAAGAACGTCGGCTAGTTGATCATGAGATGGGATGTGATGAACACGAAGAAGCCCACGTTGAACGCGCTTATGAACGAAGAGGAAGTCAATAGCAACATGTTTCATCCTGGAATGGAAAACGGGATTTGCTGAAGACGTAGTTGCACCCTTGTTATCACAAAGAAGAGTCGGTGGGGAAGTTAGCGGATGTCGTAGCTCGTGAAGAAGTGATTTGATCCAAAGAATTTCAGATGCCGCGTTGGATAAGGCACGATATTCAGCTTCTGTTGAGGACTTGGCAATAGTGCGTTGCTTGATAGATTTCCACAAAATGAGTGATTTACCGAGAAAGATGGCATAGGCACTAGTAGAAGAGTGGTCATCTAGATTCCCGGCCCAGTCAGCATCAGCATAAGCGCACAGAGGAAGTGATGAGCTATGACAGAGAAAGAGGCCATGAGAAGAGGTGCCTTGGAGATAGCGCAACACACGTTTCACTAGCTGTCAGTTAATCACTGACAGCTAGTTAATAACTGTGGGCTTATGCATAAATTGAGCAAGTTTATTGACAGCAAAAGCAACATCTGGTCAGGTGAGGCCCAAATACTGAAGTGATCCAACCACTTGACGATAAAGGGTGATGTCACAAGAGCCCGAACTATCAAATAGAGTTAAAGAAACCGAGGAAGCCAAGGGCATGGCTACAGGATTAGCACCATCCATTTTCAATATGTGTAACAAATTTGTAATGTATTTATGTTGATCAAGAAAAAGCCCATCATGTGTAGGTGTAACCTGCATGCCTAAAAAATAATGTAAGGATCCTAAATCCTTAATAGAGAACTTGTTTGCCAAAGAATCAATAGTCTGGCGCACCAATGCAGGTGTAGAACCAGTGACAATAATGTCATCAACATAGATTAACACATAGATGTAAGCTCCATGAGAAGAGAATATAAAAAGACGATTAACACATAGATGTAAGCTCCATGAGAAGAGAATATAAAAGGACTAGCATCAGAAACAAACCGAGAGAAACCAAGTGAGAGAAGAAATCCACTCAGAGATTGGTACCACACGCGAGGTGCCTGTTTTAGACCATAAATGGATTTTCGAAGGCGGCATACAAACCCAGAACCATCATTGAACTCAGGGGGTTGCTTCATGTAAACTTCCTCTTGAAGAGCCCGATGTAAGAATGCATTATTGACATCCAACTGATTGATTGGCCAACCATGAGAGAGAGCAATAGTCATAACGACCCTTATAGTAACCGGTTTAATGACCGGACTAAAGGTGTCAGAATAATCAATGGCTAACTCTCCGCCCAAACGTACCCATCTTATGACCCTTCAGCCTCGGAAACAAGCCAACCTTATTACCCAATCCCATTTACCTCATCACATTATTCCCACTAGTGCTTCTCAAGCTTTATAGGTACCAGAATGGCGGAATGCTATGACAGTAGAATTTGATGCCTTGGTTAGACAGGGTACTTGGGATCTCGTTCCCACTCTCTCTGGTAAAAATGTTGTTGGTTGTAAGTGGGTTTATACGGTGAAATATAAACCAGATGGTTCCTTAGATCGCTTTAAAGCTCGGTTGGTGGCTAAAGGCTTTCATCAACAACCCGGGTTATGATATATTCTAATACGGAAGTTGGATACATAGTTGCATCTTATGCGGGATGTCAACTAGTTTGGTAACTCTGGTTACATGGAATTTTGGAAAGTCTAAAGCAGAAGTAGAACAAGTCAATCACATTGTTTTGTGAAAACCATAAACATTTTCAGTTTCAAAGGATCCAGTTCTTCATGGGGGACAAAATATATTCACATCTGATATCATTTCTTGGGAGAACATGAAAATGAAGGAGAGATTCAAGTGGAGTATTGCGAGGCTAGAGATAAAATAGCTGTAATTTTCACAAAGCCGCTGGCGGAAAAGTCCTTAAAAAAGATACGGACTGTTTCGGAATAAGAAGCAAAATAATTTAAGGGAGACATAATTGGTTATTTCCTAATTAAATTAAATTTGCATGAGACAAAAAATACATAAAAAGAAAAAGTCTTATGAGATGTTCCGTAGGTTTCATCTGAAGCGAATAAAAACTAAATTATTCTCCATTTATGTTTCTCTTCTTGCTTTTCCTTTCTACAGTTTGTTTTGTTAAAAATTGCTCCAGATTTCCAAGAAGTGCCAAAACTCAAAGATGCATTACCTTCAGGAAAATGAGGTCGTTTACCAAGAATTGATGTAGTGTTGTTTGCTTCATAATTTTCTGAAGCAACTGGATTTGGAGCTCTTTGGAATCCAAGAAGGGATGTACTCTTGTTTTCTTTATTTTCAGAAGCCTGTGTTTTAGAAGCTGACTGAAATCCAAGAAAGGTCGTAGTTTCTGCTTTGGCATCATTTGTATTAAGCCAGTTTACAACATCATTGAATTTCTCCTGCAATACACTACATTAGCATACAAAATCCCACAAACCACATTACCTTGAAGCATATATCTTTGGAATTATAGTAATGCACCTTCATGTTATCTAATTTAAGCAAAGCACAAAATTGTTTATTACCATGAGAGGGTTCTAACATTGAACACATCTAAAATTACATAAAAGCCAATTAGTAGTAAACATTCGGGCACAGACAACTACTCCTACCCAAAAAATCATATGCACCAAAAACACGGAACTCAAAATTCCAAAATGTGAAATCACTAAAGCGTATACTAAGGTATATATGAAAGATTAACATAATGTATCAAAATGTACCATGATGGATGAAGCATGGGTTAAATAGTCTTGGGCGCCATCTTCCCAGAGCTCATCGGGGTGGTTCTGTAATTGTTTTTTCACCCAGCTGCTTAGAACAACAAAGTGCTAAGTAGAGAAAGGAAAAAGCTTATTGCATCATACATTAAGAATGTGCTAATAGAGAAACATAAGATAAAACACTAGGCATATCTATTTATACAGTGTTTAACTATTTATTTTATAACAGTTCCAAATGAGAAGAAAAAAAACAAATTTCTAAGTTGTAGGCGTTGTAGAAATGAAAAAAACTAGAATACTATGTAGTATATTGTAGGGACATATATGGCTAGCTACTTAGGGGGGATTAATTTGCATCTAGGTGAAGGACTAAAGTGAAGATAAAGGCATGTCTCTTTCACTCAAATGATCAAAAAGAACTTTATGTGCTAAAATTAAGAGGTGAACTCAGTGTTATAAGTTACGCAGTATATCAGTGCTTCACCAGAAAAGGCTTTTGGAATTGAATGATCAATTTTATACCTTGCAAACTGAGTATTTAGAGCCCTAACGTGTAGCCTAGATGATTCAGCCCGGTAAATGTCCAACTGTGGAGTAGAACCTGACAGCTGCTGGGGTGGCTCCGCTCTTTGAGAATCAAAAAGTGACCCACCTAAAAGTCTTTTGTTTTGGTTCTGCACATGAATTTGATAGCTACGAAAATAAAAAGGAAAAGCAATCTACTAACAAAGCCACATCCTCCATCCACAAATAGATATCATAAATAGCAACAGTATTTTAAAAAGAAAAATTAAAACTTTAACTCTTTAGGATCAAAAACTCATTTCAGGAGTTGAAACCATTACAACCATGGCTAAAATCATGGATTTAGTTTTGCTATGCATAAATCTTATTAGAAAACTACAGGCTCATTAGGAACTCAATTCTACGTAAAACTAATCACAGATGCATCGCAAAACAAGAATACATATAGGAACTTCATTAAGAATTGCACAAATTCCTAAAAGACTATGAAACTATGATCGGAATCTGAGTCCAAGCTAAAGACAATTACTCTGCCTTTGCAAGTTGTTTACCGTATTTAGATTTTTATGAATATTGTCACATTATAATTTCAGAAAATCACATTATATCTAAGCTAGAAACCTTCCATCCATCTCTGCATCTCTCTCCCTCTCCATCCATTCATAAATCTCAACCAAAAAACATCAAACGCATACGGTAACACAATTGAAAAGGCAAAAGTTGGACATCAATTCGAAGCGCGGAAGAGATGCAGAAAATCGAACTGACTGTATTGCTGGTTAAAAAGGACGACTCGGATGCGGCGAATCGCTTTGTTCCTCTCATGGTCCGGAATTTGCAACTCAGTGAACAACAATCCTACAGAGCTGTGGTGCAATCTTAGATTAGTTTTCAGCTTTAGGCAGTTAGTTGGAAAAAGGTGCAAATAGGCCCTTATTTAGGAAGCTGTGTCCGGCCGTCGCCATTTGGCATGTTCCTGATGGAATTTTTTGATGAAATTTTTTGAACATCTTATTCATCAAGTCTAGTTTACTCATATCAAATTTCAGCTAAAACTTCAATCGGGAGGGCATTCAAATGAATTTTTGAAGATAACTGCGCAGTTATTTTCAAGAATTCATTTGAATGCCTTCCCGATTGAAGTTTTAGCTAAAATTTGGTATGAGTAAACTAGACTTGATGAATAAGATGATCAAAAAATTTCATCAAAAAATTCCACCGGAAACTACCCCAAATGACGACGGCCGGACAGAACTTCCTAAATAAGGGCTTATTTGACCTTTTTTGGTTAGTACATGGGTCTATTTGCACCTTTTCCCGCAGTTAGTTTGATGTTTAAAAAAACATTTCTAGTTTTTTGGGCTTAAAAAAGGCTTATTTTACCAAACAATACCAACTTTTAATTTTTTTTGTCAAAAGTGATTTTATTTTTCTATTACACAAAAAACAATTTTTTACCTGACACTGCCAACTTTTACTTTTCAAAATCACTTTTTTCTCAAACCCTATCAACTTTTATTTAATCGATTCTCCTCATTTCATTAAAAAAAACACTTCTTTAAAAGTAGAAGCTGTTGCAAACAGGCCCTTAAAAAAGTCAATGGACTTTTAAATCCACAGATTTTTTTTACGAATTAATTCTATGAAAATTTAAATTCATGGATAAGTTTATTGACTTTCAAAAAGTCCATAGACTTTAAATGCGGGCCGCCATAGCTGATCGTCGGAATTTTCACCTAGATCGCCGCTACCGAACTGCATGTTTGCCTTTGTCACCGAAGTTCCCCGTTGTTGTCATCGGACTAATCCACCACCAACAAAATGACTTTAATTTTGCAAGGGAACTAGAGACAATTAATTATATTAATTAATAATTAAATTAGGAGTGAATATGTAATATTTAATATCATTTAAGGAAAATCAAACATATGGTCCCACTTTAAGAAAAATGTTATGTTTTAGTCCTACCGTGAGTAATTTCATCCTTATAATATGGAGTATGATAAGAAACAAACAAACAAATAAATCAAAAAATATGAATAGACCTGCACAAAAACGGGTTCGGGCCGGGCTCGGGCCGGGCTCGGGCTGGATTTTTTATAAATTTTTTGCCCATCATGTGTGGGCGGGGCCCGGCCCGCAAAAACGGGCCTATAAATATTATAATTTTTTCTCAATTATATAATTTTTTTAATACTTTAAAAATAATATGACAACATTTAAAAAATTGTTAATACGCTTATAATATTTATAGGCCTTTCACCACATACAAAAATAATACTTACATAAAAATAAAAATGAGAAACTATATCTAAAATTTAAATTTCAAGCAAAAAGTATTATCTTTAAGTACAAAAATAGATACTATATTAGTTGGGCTAGTTGTTAAGAACTAAAAACTTAAATTTAAATATAATAAACTATAAATATGTATAAAGGTAAATTATATTAGTAAATATAAATATACATGTGTACATGTAAATAAATAAATAAATAAATAAATTAGTATATATATATATACACTAAATGTAGCGGGCCTACACCCTAACCCAAGCCCACCCAAATGTTATTGCGGGCCGGGCCCGGGCCAGTGGGTAAATACATATGCCCAAGCCCGCTCATTTGTGCGGCCCGGCCCGGTTTTGTACAGGTCTAAATATGAATGAATGAATGAATGAATGAATGAATGAATGAATGAATGAATGAATGAATGAATGAATGAATGAATGAATGAATGAATGAATGAATGAATGAATGAATGAATGAATGAATGAATGAATGAATGAATGAATGAATGAATGAATGAATGAATGAATGAATGAATGAATGAATGAATGAATGAATGAATGAATGAATGAATGAATGAATGAATGAATGAATGAATGAATGAATGAATAATTAAATATATAAATAAATAAATAAATAAATAAATTAAACAAATGTAATTTATATTACCTTGGAGGTTTTCCCCGAGGACCACCTGATGACCAAAAGACAATCAAAAACACTTCAGGATGAAGATGACTATTTTGTTTACCCTATCTACTCAAACTATGATTTGCCTCAAAAACTTGTAACAGGACTCAAACGTTATAAGTCGTCACAGCCGGAGGCAAAAACTTACCCTCCTTATTTACAAAGGGCAATCCAGTTTCACCATAAGTACAACCGGCCGCTCGCAACATCTGTCGGGGTGCCTACAAATTTTACTTGTTAAACTTTATCTATGCACTTTTATTTGTATTTTTCTTGTTGAACTTTGTTCTGTAACTTCATATTTTTAGTAAATTGGAAAGTGTTC